TGCCACATGTGCAAATTAGCAAGACAGAAAGGAATCATCCAGCAAGTGCGGTGCTCCACTCAACATTCTACATTGCATGGCTCCACTCAACATTCTACATTGCATCGCTGTGCTACGAAGGTATTTAGGTAGGGGTTTGGTTGCTGCCGGAGATTCTTTTCAGCTTGCGAGCTACAGAATTGAGTGCTTTGAAGAATGTAGGATCGAACCCATTCCAAGCTTCAAGACTTCAATTACGGCACAACGATTGTGCTGGGAATCAGCTTCCGGAAAGGCTGTGGCACCTGCAGGGACTGATTGCCCCGCAGGTAAATCAAGACCTCCTCCATCCTGGAATCCCGCCACAGTTCTTCAATCTTGACATGTTGAGTTTGCATGCGGGACATGACCTCTGCAAGGCTTTGCCTCACATCCTCATGGACAAGTGGCTTTCCGCTGGCACTGTCTCGGAAGAGGCGCCGAAGCTGAGTCAAGCGCTGTCCAAATTTCCTGGGATAAGCCCTTAGTTGGAAAGGGATTGATCAGACTTATATAGAAGGATACAGTTTGTAAGGCAGGATCATGTCTGAGCAGCCACGACACTCAGTCGCGCGAAGGTGCTTGTTTCCATGGTAACGGGTCTTGCCATCTGCACCCTTCTGGCGATTGGTTGTTGGTTGGTACTTAGATCCTAGCTTCGCTCTGGTCTTGCGCCAGTTCCGCAGTGGGCCGCGGTTTAGAGCACCAATGGCTTTGCTGTTGCTTATAGCTGTTGACCTCTTGGGTGTCCTCGACCCATAGTGGAACATCCACCATGATGCGCGGAACACCTCAAACAGCAGGTTGGGTTCACTGGACACATGTGGGGGCATTTAGAGGCACTCAGAAACTGACTTAAAGTGATTGCCTTGGTGGCATTCCAGAGCCAGCGAACACATGGGTGTTCTAGCATTTTGGATCCACCAGGCTGCTCCAAGACGAAAGTCCCGCCGCGACAGACGGTGAGGACCATCAATAACACTGCCCTGGCACGGGTTTTGTTTATATAGGGTTTAAAAAGGGTTTTAAGGGCGTTGGGGGTTTTAAGGGTGATTGTATATGGCCGCGCGCTGCGCGTTCTCGCCCCCCCGCCCCCCCCCATGGTCTACGGTCTCCCCTAAACCAACCCTATAAACCTTATATAAACCCTGTGGTAAACCTATATATACACCCTAATTATACCTCATAACCCTTATAATCCCTACCCTAAATCCTACCCTAAACCCTACCCTAAATTCTACCCTAAACCCTACCCTAAGCACTATAAACCCTATAAACCCTAAAAACCTAAAACCCTCAACCCTAAAACCAACCCGCAACCACGTTACAGGGGGGGAGCAACCATACATTGGGCACAAGGTCCTCCTACGCCCCAAAACGAGCGTTAAGGGTTTATGTGTATAAAGCTTACACAGAGAGGCTCTTTCTAAAAACCCCGAAACCCTATATAAAGCCTATATATATCTATGTATATATGTATAGATATATATATATATATATAGATATACAGGCCCTTGTCAACGAATTTAGGGTGGGATTTTAAGGTTTGCTGGGTTTCAGGGTAAGCCCAAACAAATTTGCAGCGGCCTGCACACTAAGGTGTTGCTCTCTCGAACGCTGAGCTTTGAAACGTCCCCTTCAGGTAGTAAATATGTTCTCCTCGACGTCCCAACGTTGATCTGTGTACTAGATGAGCATTTCACCCCCAGCCACACCACCGCGTCATCCTCCTTCGTTTGTAGCAGTGCCATGACTGCGAGCCTGAGTTCCCAAAACATGTCGGTAGCGCGCCCTTGAAATCAGACGCGGCACGTTGCGCGACATGGTGAGGCTTCACATAATACAAAACTAAGGCACGCCATTCCTGCAGGAGATAGGAGGTCCAGTGGATTGTATTTGGATTTGTCCGAAGGTGTGTAATCCAAAATATCCAGTTTATTTCCCGTCACTCCTGAGCCAGTGACACACTTGGTTGCCACAGCCGAGCCAGCGAAGAACTCGAGCCACTGGTAGACCTGAGATGCCCCCACCAACTACCGAGGCCACAACACAGCGCTAAAGTCGTATTTCGCCACAAAGAGCATACAATGCGCGCGCAAGCACTTCATTCAGAGGCTGTATGTTCTGCGAGAAGAACAGCAGAATCACACAGACAACCAAGACCTGAGCCCATGCAAAAACATGCGCAAAACCTAATTGACCTCTCTGAAGGAGACACCCTGCCTTTGGAGCGCCGAACGCGTTCAGCCGGCGAAGAAACAAGGCCAGGCTCTCTTGAGTTGACACAGAAGGCATTGGCTCTTTCAGAGTGTCACGAAGATGTTTCAGGTTTCGTGGAGGGGGAATTGTGCGCAGAATGTTTGCGTCGATCGAAGTAGCAGCAGAGCCACAAAACTGCTGAGTACATTCGGAACAAAGTGCATTCTCCATGCCCTTAGATCACCCCTACCTGGAGGCTCAGGGAATTTATACCCCCAGTTATAACTGTACTTATTTTGCTCTCTAGGTTATAAGTAGACGACTTACAAGTACCCATGACAATGAACCTCCACATAGGGGCGATCTGTACTTCCCCCATTTACCCTGAAACTGGATTGAAAGCACGGTCAAACAAGCTGGCAGCACCTCTGGTCTGCTTGTTCACGTGAGCAGCTCGGTGAACTCTCCATTTCCGGGAGCGAGCAAGGCCCTGCACTGACGCTAGCCTGCGTGGGCACAAACATGTTGAGTATGCAAATCTATTGCCGCCTACAACACTGATTTGCTTGTCTGCTGCCACGCAGGTTCATCAGCTGGGCTGCCACGGCATGCTCTGCAGGACACGCTTGCTTTCTCGCGCGGTTCTTGCGTGTAGCGCTACGTCAAAATCTTCTTTCCGGGCCGCGTGCTCCCTTACTGCGACGCCCTCGCCGCATCTGTGACAACACCCTTGGCGTTCTCAAACTTCTGCATAGCGAGGTTCAGAATGAACCCACCACTCAGATCGAGAGCCTCAACGGAAACATAAATACGACAGCACAAAACCAAGCCAAGCATGTGCATGTCCTGTTCATCCTAGAAATGCTGTCGTGCAGGGCAGACGCCAGCTGGTAGATGGGCTGGAAGAGCTGATGGAGCGAAGCACCGGGGCAAGAGAAGTAAGCAACCTTGGATTGTAAGAGGTCTGTAGGAACATGAGGGAGGGGCGCTCGAACTCAGGCTATTGCACTGAATGCAGCCCTGTATCCTGGGTATCCTTCTTCTCAGACTCATCAGCCCACTCATCCCGACTGGCCCTCTTTACAAGACCAAAGGCCGGGCGCGACCAGTAAGCCATGATCTTCCACGGCTGGCCGGCAGCATTGTAAATATTTATCTTGTCCTTGAGCGGCTTCTCATCCTGCAGGGAGGCGGGCAATCTAAAGGAAGAGACTATATGCACGTTGACTGAAGACCGCTTAAACTCGAGACGCTGGCATCCTGCGAGCGGGTTCTGATGGCGGCCGCGGGGCGCTTGATGGTCTTTGGCTTCTTTCCAGGCTTCTCTGGGTTGGTTGCTTTTTTGCGGGGCTTTGCGGGTTTCTCATCAGCAACATCATCATCATTCGTATCCTCGGGTCCCTCTCCTTGCTTGGCTCCCTCCTCCTCCTCGGCTCCTTCTTCTTCCTCGGCTTCCTGGTCTGCCAATGCCTTGGTAGCCTTCCTGGCTTTCTTGCTGGCTTTCCTTTTCCGTTTTTTTTTCTCCGCACTCCAGGGAAAGTTCCGGGCATCCGACTTCTCCTTTGCAGCCGATTTCCCCTTTGCTTTGGTTTTTGGGGTTGTCTTGCCCTTACACGCTGCCTTTGCCTTGGCTTCAGCCCTCCGCTTGGCTTGCAGACTCAACTGCTCCGATCGGGGAACTACCTGGCAGAAGAAAGGGCGCGCGTGGATTTTGTGAGCGTTCTAGGTCCGATTACAGGGTTTAGGGAGTTTAGGGGGTGTACGGGGTTGCAGGTATATACAGTATATAAACTCCAGAAAGTTGGAACATGGTTTTTAAGGATGATTAGAGCTGGGATTCTCTTTAGAATACCTTTTGCGGTACGGGGATAAAGATGTTCCAACTTTCTGGGCTTATATAGGGTTCAGGATAGGTCCTAGGTTGCGCACCAAGTGGCCGGAGGATCAGCAGCTTCAAGAGATGGAGCGGGAGCTTCGGACAAGGCTGGCTCCACTTCGGACAAGGCAGGCTCCACTTGCGTGTCCACAGTGTCAGGGTTCATGGTCTTGGCGAAGACTAGTCCTGGCGGTGAAATAGTTTGAGCTCGATTCAGGGTGGGGTACAAAGTTGCAACGATCCTGGGAGGGCCAGGGGCTCAGGCTCAGCTTGGTCTGCCGACTGTTCATGACGATCACCGTGTCTAGGGTCTTCCCGAGCCCCCTCAACTGCGCCCAAGTTTTCAGGACAGTCATCATCAGTTGTAGTTTCCCCCTCGGAAGCAATTCTTTCAGCTTCCTCCCTCACCCGGCGCTGCTCTTGCCGGCGTTGCAGCCTAACATGTTGTCGCGGGGGAATGAACTTAAGACAAGGGCATTACTTTGGGACGGCAATGAACAACTGAGACTGTAACTGAGCTTTCACATCTTCGATATGCTTCTCAAGCATCCTTTTCCGAGCCTGATGGCCTACATCATCATCTAGGTCGATAAACTCTTTGGCAGTTCGCCGGGGCCCTGCCAGAGATTTAGCAGCAGTGGGCTTGACTTCTGCCGGGCTGTCACGGCTGTCAGTACTCTTCTCATCCATGACTCCATCATGCTGGCCAGGCTTTACCTTCGACTTCATGGCCTCCGGATAGTCAGCCTGAGCGAGGAGTCAATTTGAGGAGTCTCTAGGGCGCTAGCTAGACTGCATGGCCTTCTCCCCAAATTTGCGGACAATCCTGTAGAAGCCAACGTCCTTAGAGAAGCGAGGATTTGAGTAGCAGAACATGCTTCTGTGCACAGTTGCTTCACGAGACCCCTCAATTTAGCCGAGAATCCTTGGGCACGCGCTCGCTCAAAAACTGCTTCCGAACAAAGCTCAAAAGAGACTTGATCCCTTTGGCATCAGTTAAAGCATGAGCAAGGATTTCGGGTTCAAGCTGGAAGCTGTCATCCAACTTTGGCAACCGCCCCTTGGAAGAGCCTTTCTTCTTCTTCTTAGCACTCTGGTGGGTGGTCCATAGGATTACGAGCTGCCTGTGGATCTGCTCGAGCGAAGGGAGTTTGAGAGTTTTGGCCGCCTTCATTGCTTTAATGATGGGCAGCAAGAAAGTCTGGTTCAACACACAGCATCCCTGAGTCTGCATGGGCGCAGGTTCTCCCACCTCGGGGAGCACCAAAAACCCTCTGTGGTCAAAGATTCGCTCCCGAACCTCCTCCACATTGTACCATCCCCGCCCCACACCTTCAAAATCTGCTGGGCACTCCGGCATAGCTGGGGGTATTACGGAGTCCAGCTACATTGATCACCATTGATCCAGCAAATGCGAGCACATTGCCACTCCGAACATAAATCCACACAAGTTGCAGGCACAGGCAGGCTGGTCGCACCTGGTGAGTTTGCCCATGGCTCATGCAACCATGGTGGCGCATATGTTCACCCTTCGAATGCCGAGGTACCATGCGGCTTTGAAGCTGCAGGTAAATCTGATGCGGGCAGAACTCCTTCAAATCTTATCTTGCATAGATGACATACATACGTCACTCCCTCTCGAGCTGAAACTTCAAGATGCAAGTTGCCAATTGTTGGTCCGCCCTGACCCCCCCCCCCCCCCCGGACTAGCAAGAGTTACCCCATCCACTGAGGTCTATATGAGACACAGCTAGGATGATAAGCCACACCGTGTGCCCCACACTGCCAGCTTTACGGCTAAATTTCGGCCGCGCTCTTGGATGGGAAGAATCCCAATAAAAAAGCAATAAGTCAACCAAATCCAATAAAAACCCAAAATTTGTCGCGAGGCCAGAAATTTCCAGCCGCTGAAACTACTAGGTAGAGGGTGTTCAGGGTCAAGGGCTTGGAGTTGCGGTGGGAATGCCGGGCTTCCTCTCCGATGTCACTCAGTTTAGCAGTCTTGCACTGGAGCTGCTTTTCATGTGTCATCGAAGTTGCTCGGGGGAAACTTCTTTCCCAATCAATTAACAGCACAAGTGCGCCTCGGCTCCGGACACAGGCATTCAGAGGCCCACCCCGATTTCACTTTGGGGGGTGCAGAATTGAGAACCTTAATCAGCCTTAATCTTCAGCTGGGACTGGGGGTCGCCGGCCTCTTGAGAAAACGCCCCAAAATTTCGCTCGGGTGCACACCGGCCCTTGGATCACCCGGCAAGCCGATTCCACAGTCTTGCTCTGAGAGTCTTGGGTCGCGAGGTTCCCTAGCTTCCGAAGAGTAAGGGCTGAGAAATTCAGCTTGTGCGTCCCGTGAGGCTCGCACATGCCTTGCGGAGGTGGAGCGGCTTGGGGACAGCCCGGAGGCCCACACCCCAAGCCTCCCGAAGCCCCGAACATTCCAAAAAAGCACTACGACACGTTCTCCGCAGCCATCTGCCTGACTCCGAGAAGCCCCATGTCTCTGCCTGGCTGCGCTAGGTTGTACTAGGGCGCATGCCTGGAACTTGAAGCACGCCATTCTGATTAACGCAGAGCTCATATTGAGGGCAGCTTCTGCAGGAAAAGAGCTCTTGATGGCGTTGCGCAGAGTCAGTTCCACATGGCAGGGCAGTGCTCATTCTTCAACCCTACACGGCAAGCGTCAGCTCGAGAGGAGTAGACAACCGGCCTCTTCGATCAAAGTGTCCCAAACAGTTCGCCAAACATGGTTTTTGTTTAGCTCTTTCCTGTCCAGTACTGGTGGGGCTGCTCTCTCGCCTTTCATTCCCTGTTTGGTTACTGTTCGGCGTTCGACTCCTGGGCTTGCAGCCCCCCCAAAATATAGCCTCAAAAACCCGTTAAGCCTAAAAGCTCGCGAGGCCATCGACACCGCCACGGAGCTGGCTCTGCAGCTGGAGATCGGTTTTGGGGTTACAGGGATGGTGAGCGTCGAGCTGTGGGTATCCATGAAGTTTGGGGAGTTTTGTGGATTTAGGCGTCCAAGCTTCAAGGAGGAGGAGTCTACATCAACACACCCAAAGGCCGGAAGCCATTCACGCCATTGATCCTGAACGCTCAAACCAAGTATGGCAGCCATCGCTCAGAAGCCCCTTTTGACCACGTCAAGCAGACCGTCTACTCACTAGGGGCTATCATGTACGAAGATGCCCCGCATCTAGATTCTCCGGGTTAGTCTCAAGTAAAAAACACACCAAAAAAAGTACAAGAAAGAAAAGCAAGATTCCAAAAACGGACGCAAAAGGACAAAACACAACAAAAAGTTAGCCCATTTGTCAGCATCGCCTTCACCTCGGCTGCTTGGCCCACTTGGCCGCCAACGTGCACCCTTTGCGCTGCCCATCTTGCCGGGAGCAGTTGCCGGCACAGGCAGTGGAACCATTCCTAGACGCGTGCCGTGAGCAGGGAGTGGTGCTGCCGAGCCCAGCATGGAGCACGACACTACGTCAGCCACCGGCAAACACTCGCCCCACGCCCGCCCCCTCATGTGTTGCCCCTATGTTGCCCGCGCATCTACCTTGCAGACTCTGCGCGGGCCGCATCACCGGAAGCGTGGCAGGAACTGCCAGACCGCCACATTGGGCACCCGTTCATTGCAGGCAGATAATCCGCTGCAACACCACAGTTGATGGCTCACACCACATGACGCAAAACATTCCCGACCCTCCTGTGTGCCCTGCCCATGGAACGCAACTCCTCGCATTAGACCTGCGGGAAGGCAGCCGTGGCTGGGTGTGTGCCTGCGGGTCCCCGCCACAAAATCCTGCCGTGCACGCCTGCTCGCATTCTGGAGCCCCAACCAGTCGTCGTTCCGCCAGACCAGCCAGCAGGCCAACAGGCGACCGGCCATGGTATGCATGCGGCCCTCCTCCTCCAGGCAGCCTCACGGACCCGACTGGATCTTTGTTCCGTTGTTGCGTGCTGCCGTTGGCAGACTCCACCCACAATGCGAACAGCAATGGGCGAGTCATGCGAGCTTGGGGGACATTTGGACACACTCCCTTCAATCCCTCCGCTTAGCCGGCCCGGTGCCGCCACAGTCGCCCACTCACGCCCTGCACATGTTGCAGCAGTAGCTTCCGGCGAGGGACGCCAAGTGCCTGTGCAATAGGCCCAGCAGTTCCTCGGCCTGGCGGCCGCCACTAATGCGCTAGAGGGCTTGTCCACACATGAGGCCAATTCGTGCTGCCCGACGGGTACATACCGGCCACCGCCCAAGAAGCACTGCTCCACGTCTACCTCGGTGAATCGGCGGCGGCCCACCTCGTGCAGCAGGTTGCTGACGCACAGGCCCTCTAGATGGGGCTTTACGCCGGCCGCACAAGTAGTGGCTTTTGGCCCGGGACTCTGTACCGGAGTCCTTCCCAAAGTTGGATGTTTCTACACCAATGAACGACAATCATACCAAGACGCGATGCTGGAATCCTGCAGGAATCGCCCCAACCGGTCTTTCTCTGCAGCAGGGATGCCTTTTTCCTGATTGGCACTGCCGGCGCCGATGTGGGGCCCGCCAGGATGAGCTGACCTCCAAGCTGCTGTTACAGAGCAGGCTCTTTTCAAACACAAGCTGCAGATCGACTGAAGCGTCCACCGTCTCCGATGCTGTTCAGGGAAAGGTCTAGGAGCTCCAGTGCAAGCTTGCGTTGGAAGGCAGTGGCAAGTGCCTGACAGATGGCACGTGCCCGCGTTGTGGCAAATTTGAGCCCACAACACATCACAGGACTGGGGCTGTCGCCAAAACTCAAGCGCGTGTGCTTCGCTGAGCAAGAAGCTTGCCCGTAGCCTAGCCTGCATTCAGCTACCTTCCCGGCTGTGGCACCTCTGCTCCACACTTCCCAAAGGAGTTGCTTCCGAGGTTGAGATGCTTTAGCCGCTCAAGGTTCGTGAGGACCGACGACAATGCCTTGATGCCATGCTCTTTTGTGCACCATGCGTGCGCTTCCGCCAAGATGCAAACACCCATGCCTAAAACTTAGAATGTGCACCATGCGCCCACGATGCAGCTAATGAAGCTCATGCATCTCAGGGCCTGCAAGCCGCCGTCTCCGATGTTGTTCGTGCAAAGATCCAGGATCTCCAGCTCAAGCTTACCCTCGAGAGCGCTTGCAAGGGCCTCGCGTACCGCTCCCGTACATGACGGGCATCCCTGAAGCAATGACACTTTATCATCATTCTTCATCTGGACACATCTGAGTTCTATATCCCGGAAACGGGTGTATTATATTCCTTATGACCGGGGGCATGAAGGCCACCCCCCGCCCCCCCCCCCCCCAATACCCCACGCACCGGCAAGCTGAGCTTGGTATAGCTTCTTGGAGCAGGAGTCTGTTTGGGAGTTGCGTTTTTAGGGTTTCAGGGTTGCAGGGCGATTGTAGGGCTTAGGTCCTTAGAGCTGCTTGCTCGGGTGTGGGGTTGGTGCCTGCAGCAGCTGCTCCTCCATGTCTCTCCTGTGCAGGTTCTCCTGGAGGAAGAAAACATTGGTGCTGACCTGGGTGGCCGGCAGCCAGGGACTCACCCATTGTAAACTTTTGTTAGCCCAAGATGGCCACAAGAGCATCGGCCATTGTAGCTTTCCCCGCAACATGACATGGAGCAACGTGCGCTTTGCTTAGCAACCATTGCGCAGGTGCCTGTTGCAGACTTCTAGCAGGCAATTTCATGACTGCAAGAACATGTCTAGCTGCAGCACTCTCATAGTTTATCTCTTAATAGCCGAGTCGTCTATCAACTGTCTAGCCTTTTCCGAGGGGAGGGGGAAAACACCTTCGATGTTTTCCCTAACAACTTGTTTGGGCCCGTGTTTTTGGTTCGGGCTTGGTTGAGAGGACTGCAGGAGCCGATCTGATACGAAACTAATCTGGGTCTTTGTTGGGTGGGGCTTGGCTGAGAGGAAGAGGACTGCAGGAGCCGATCTGTTACGGGGTTTTTTTGGGGCCAGTTTTCTTTTTTCGGGCTTGCCTCGAACATCAACCAAGACCCTAACCGCCCTAACCCTTGCTGTCTCAGCTTTCACAGCCTCAAACTTGCGATTTGGACGCTCGGACAATCACCTCCCCACCCTTGTACAACACTCGACGAATTGCTAGGCCCACGGTTCAATACATATATATATATATATATATTTGATAGAGAGGGTTTAGGGTTCGGGGTTTAGGGTTTAGGCTGTTGGGTTTAGGGTCGCAAAGGTGCGGGTAGAATTTCGACGACGTGCCGGACTGCATCTTGAAGTGGCGGTGCAGCCGAAACACGGCTGAAGGGAGTTCGTACCGGAGATTATACAGCACGGATGAAGACAAATCTCGGCCCCGGAGCCTATACCGCGCG